TTACTGTAAAACAGGGGAGCTTGTTCCTAATAAAAATCTGTTGGTTGGTGCTCCACTTTTAGACAAACATGGCATTTTTATTATAAAAAAAAAGAAAAATTAAAAGAAAGATTTAATGCCACTAGACTAAGAGCTCACAGCAACAGGTGAGATTAACATTGTTTTAAATGGCTGCCTTATATATTTCCTCCTTTTCAGGGGAAAAATGATTCCATCTGCTCTGGAAGACAAGATACAGCTGGCAAAAAGTGAGGTGAGCCACCCAGCTTATTCGAGTGTGTGTGTGTGCGTGTGTGTGTGCGTGTGTGTGTGTGTGTGGATGGGCTGGTAGCTTTACTTTTTGCATCTTTCATATGTCTTTGCATGTTTGCACACGTGTCTCTTCAGGGTGCAGTTCCTTTCTTTGTAAATGCCACCGCTGGAACAACAGTCCTTGGCGCGTTTGATCCCATCGATGAGATCGCCGACATCTGCGAGAAGCACAACCTGTGGCTCCATGTGGATGTGAGCTGCTCCACTGATTTATTACCCCAGGTCTCCAGAGCAGCTCACATCATCATTGTTGTAATTTTATTTTCCTCAGGCATGCTGGGGTGGAGGCGCTCTCGTGTCGAAGAAGCACAAGCACTTATTAAAAGGCATCCAGAGGTGAGCAGCAGCGCTGTCGGTGGGTATGTTTGTGCCCAGGGTCACACATATGTAAATGAAAGCAATAAACAGTCTGAGTTTATTATCATTCACCCTCCAAAGTGGCAGATAATAACATCAGACTAATTAAGAGTTAGTCATAGAAAAATTCTGAGTTCTTGAATTAGCAGAAGAAGATGACTCCCTCTGGACTACACACCCTAACAAAACCATTCAGCTAAAGTTTTAGCTGAATGTATGTAAAATCAAAGATACAAAGTGTTAGCATGTACGGCATAGTACGTCGTTTTGATTATTATGTTTTTAAGTCAAAGCTGTTAATTTCTAACAAAATCTTAGTTAATTTTAATGAACTTAGTCACATTTAGTTGCAGTTAATGATTCATAGCGTGTTACAATAATCAAGGCAGAGCTGAGTTGTGTATCACTCTTAAGGTCGGCTTCTGATTCTATGCCCAGATTAGGGCCTCTGGGGTTCAAATCTGGAGCCAAGATTCGCATGGGGATTTTCTCAGGGGCATCTTGGGCGAGATCATCAATTTAACGTCACTTTTCTCATCTTTGAAACTCCAGAAAATTCAGGATCATTCAAACTTTGACGAAATGTAAGCGTTTCAACAAAGGCTGGACAGAATTACTATTTTCAAAGGAATGTAGTCTTGACAAGCATCAGTCTAACAATGGAACTGAATTCCACATTTCCTCAAAATGGAATTTTTTTTCTGAAGGAAACAGAGAAAATAAGGAGTCCTAGAATAAAGTCCTGCGGTACGCCACAGCCAGTAAACACTGTCGAAGACACAAAAGGTTCTCAGTCAGTCAGGAAGACTAAAACCAAAACTCCAAGGCTGCTCCTTTAATAATAACACAGATAATAAAATGGCAGTGTCAAAACTACTAGCATCTGTTGCAAAATATGTTGGTAAATCCCCTATAGGTAGCAGACTCCATGCATTCTAATAATCACCTAAAATACCTCAATTGATTAATGGGCAATTTATATATATATATATATATATATATATATATATATATATATATATATATATATATATATATATATATATAATTTTTTTTTTTTTTAGTAGATTGACAGTAGATCTCCTACCGGTACCACTGCTGAAAAAAAAAATGATCTCAACTTTAATTTATGCATTTATGAAAAGACTGGAGTTAATTATGACTGAAAACATGCTTATTGTTTTTGTTCATTCCTGATTAGAGTCAATTCTGTTGCCTGGAACCTTCACAAAATGCTGATGGCTACCCTGCAGTGCTCCGCCTTCCTGGTCCGAGACAAGAGTGTAAGAGATTACCTGATTACCTGATTTGTTGCAGAGAAAGATATTTTTTAAAAAGTCACTAGTGGAGGCAACAATCTGCATTTTTGTATCATGATAAAACAATATTTTACCCCCCACTAAAATTTAATATTTTTCACAATAGTATTTAAATTCTTTTTTTTCCATTTGTGTTTTTTTACAAGTGTCTCCTTCAGCGCTGCCACTGTGCTGGGGCTTCATACCTCTTCCAGCAGGACAAATTCTACGATGTGAGCTATGACACTGGGGACAAATCGGTCCAATGCAGCAGGAAGCCGGACGCCTTCAAGTTCTGGCTCGTGTGGAAAGCTGTAGGCACCAGAGAGCTGGAGGACAGAGTGGACAGGGCCCTGGCTTTGGCCCGGTGAGTCCTGGGACGAGGAACCTGGGATGGTTTACTTTTTCTTACAAAAAAAATATGCAGAACTGACAGTCAAAAAAATACAATTGAAGGATTTGAACGGCATCTTTCTGCACCAACATGGCTCAGACATTTAAAAGAGGTGGTATGAATACATTTAGTAAAAATTCTGCAGGTGCATTTAAAAAATTACTATTTTGAAAAGTTCGCTTTTTGTCACTCGTTCCAAAGTAGAATTTATGTTGCATAGATTTATCACACTTTAAGTAAAATAGCTGAAGCCTTTATATCTTGTAAAGTTGATGATTATGGCTAATTGCTAATAAAAACCCAAAATTCTGTTTGTTGAGAAAAGTTTTCTGTCTAAGTAAGCACAGCAGATTGCATCAAGTTATTGACTCGCATCAAGTTATTGACTCGCAGCAATTCATCATACTATTTTGGGCATGTATGTAGCCACAGTAAAGAGGAAAACTCCCCTTTAAGAGGAAGAAACCAGCAGAACCAGAACCTGGCTCGGTGTGAACAAGTTGAGTTTGAGAAGTCAGATCATACACATCAATCTCTTCTGATTTTAAATCTTCTTTGTAATGCAGGTATCTCGCACAAGAGATCAAAAAAAGAGAAGGATTCAGATTGGTAATAGAGGTGGGTTTTTCTTTCAACCAATATATGTATAATTCCAGATATATTCATTGAAGTAGTTATTTATAAAACTTATGAGATATGTGACAAATTTCCATGTCTAAAGTATTTTGTTTTGGAAAAAAAAAATGTCATTCACAGCCTGAGTTTGCAAATGTTTGCTTCTGGTACATTCCACCGAGTCTGAGGAACCTTCCAGAAAGCCCCGAGCTGTGGAAGAAGCTACACACTGTAAGGAGTCTGTTTTTAACATGTTGGCATAATGGTTACATTAGCTTCAGCATCTTTGTTCAGCGAGAGCTGCATGCAACTTTCATTAAAAACATAATTTTACATATTTTAAAACTACCACAATGTCATGACAGATAATCTGTGAAAAGTTTTAGGCACCACCTCCAACAGAAAACAATCAATTAGAGCCAGCAGGCGGGTCTTAGTGCTGTCACTCATTCTCATGTACTCGATGCTAAATATGCTAGCGGCAGAGAAACTACTTACTACTGGAAATAGTAATAGTAAGTTCTGCCATCCTCAGTGGTTATGCTAACTAGCCTGAGCATCCACAACAGACTATGCTCCCTACAATGGAGCATAGAGTAAGGGCAAAGGAGGTATTTTTTTACACAGTATCTTCATCATAGTGACAGTTTCATCAAATATGTAAATAAATAAATGAATAAAAATGTGTTTATTTAAGTTACTGCTGCTCTAGTTAGTGGCAAACAGTAAATTCTGCTTTTTCTTACACTGCTGGGATTTTTTAGCTGAGTTAGATGGTAAAAAATAAGAACTGATTTTACTCACCTCTTAGGACCATGAAGCTAATGTTGAGCAAATACTCCATGATTTTTAAGCATGCAATCCTCAGTCTGTCATTCCTGAACCAGACCTCTGCTGGACCTAGTCTGTAAGTGTCAAAATTAAAGACCGTGAAAGTTGTAGCCTCTCTCCTTCGCCTGCAGGTGGCACCAGCAATTAAGGAGCGTATGATGAAGTCTGGCAGTATGATGATTGGATATCAGAAGCATGGCGACAAGCCCAACTTCTTCAGGATGGTGGTTATCAGCCCTCAGGTGAGCAGGCAGGATTTGGACTTTGTCCTGGATGAGATCCACAGCCTAGGAAAGGACTTGTGATCCAGGATTTCCATCAAGAGCTTTCATTCATCCACTGAGGATGGACTTGAAAAGTCCATCGTTTTCTGGAAGCGGTAGTCGTAATAGCAGTCTGTATCACCACCAGGATCCTGCAAAGACATCTGGTGATCTGTACATGCATAACAGTTTTTCTACTTTTTTTCCATACAAAAGCAATAGATGAGCTATAATTTCCAAAAATTGTTAATCCACAAAAATGTATTAAATATGTGTGTCTAGTCTATAAATTTGATGCGATTTAAATTTTGATGTTTGAACATTTTGTATGTACATTAAACAGCACTGTTCCCTTTTTCTATTCATTGTGTTGTGTCTTCATTTCCATTATTTTAGTGCTATTTTTATGAGTTTACTTGTATTAGTATTTTTTACTTTTTTTCCATGAAACATTTTGCAAAACAGCACTAACTCATGAAGGTTAAGTGTTCACTCACAACAGTAGCTGTGTTTCTATTAACTATAAAATTGCACAAATTTAAATTTTGAAATAAATTTTCTTCGTGTAAAATGTTTGTCAGACCTCTTATTACAGCCTCACCTTCAGAACCTGTTGCCATAACAGCAGCAGCTGCACTTGTACAGTTTTTATCCAGGATGTTCATATAGCACAGTGTAAAATATCCAAATGTTAGGTCACTAAAATAACCATTATTAAATAGATACAATTCAGAAGCACATGAATAAGTTGTCCTACATGTTTCATAAATGTCCTGCCTGACACTTTCCCCATGTCAAAAGTTTTTGCGGACGCTGCTATGGACAGACATTTATTTTGAGAAGCGAGAATGTGGGGGCCAATGGATACATCTGACCTTATGACCCATGATCCTGAAGTCTCATTTACACAATGATAATGAACACACAAGCTTCAGAATGACCAGAGATAGCTGATTTATTATTGTTCCAGTTCCATAAAAAAAAATCTGACAGAGGACGAATCTGAAGATGACATGGAAATAATGTTGCACTCTTGCAACACTGTGTGCTGAAAACTGCTTACATAATTGCAACTCTAAACCCCACACCCTGGGACCTCTGCTGGACCCAGTCTGTAAGTGTCAAAATTAAAGACCGTGAAAGTTGTAGCCTCTCTCCTTCGCCTGCAGGTGGCGCCAGCCACCTGCAGCCACCTGCAGGCGAAGTTAGATCACTTTTCTTAGATCATTTTTCTTTCCTTTTTACACTTGTGATATCAACAGCTTCCTCAATTGAAAATATGAGGAAGAGTCATTGAGGGCAAAAATGCCAAGTAATCTATTCCAAGGACACTTTCAAGATATGCAGGGACACCTGAGGGAAGATTCAGAAAATATGGTCCCCGAAGAAACAGTCAGCACGTCATAAGTCCTTTCCCAGCCTGTGTATCTCATCCAGGACAAAGTCCATGTCCTGCCTGCTGAGCTGAGGGCTAATCACCACCATCCTGAAGAAGTTGGCTTGGCCTCCATGGGGCTGGTAGCCCACCATCATGCTGCCAGTCTTCATCATGCGCTCCTTAACAACTGGCGCCACCTGGAGGTAACAAAAGGTACTAAATAAAAACTCCATAATTATGGATACAAACTCAAACAACAATCCACAACAGCATGCCAAAGTCTACAGCAAGAACTCATGACCCATAGGTTCAAGGTTCAAATCTGAATTTTAGATACTGGCACAGATCTGAAACCATTTCTGATGAACAGGTCAGACTGATTAAATCGGTCGATAACTCACTAGCCAAAAGAAATACCTTTTTAAGCCCCCAGTTTGTAGGACCACCTATTGACTGAAAAACATAAAAGGCACTCCAACTTGGAGTTTCTTTCAACTTAAAATTGACCAGCAAAATTACTTTACTAAGCCCAAAGATATAAAATGCTTTTCTTAACATAGAAGAATGGCTATGTATTAACAAAAATCATCAAGAGAGCTGTTCTCATGATTCACAAACTAAGTGCAGGTTGTAGTTTTGAATGTTGTGTTGATTGAAGGGACAGCTGAGCCTTGGCTCAGCAGGTCACCAAACAGATAAAATAAGGTTTATCACTCTTACAACTGTAAAACGTATATATATGCACAACACTAAATATTCATTGAAAAGGATTTGCAGGTCATTGTATTTTTTTATGTTTTTCCACTCTTTAACAACAACATTGTTTCATTACATACATTGTGTAGTTTTTCCTGGAACTCTGGGCCATCTGGCAGGTCTCTCAGACTTGGCGGGATGTACCAGAAGCAAACATTTGCATATTCAGGCTGCAGAAAAGCACAGCAAAAAATAATCACACTATTTACAATTCAAATCAAATGAGCATTTAACATTTCATCAATAAAAGTTAAACTTGCCTCCATTAAAAGGCGGAAGCCTTCCCTTTTTGTAATTTCATCTGCAAGATACCTACAAAAGAGATTAGTGTAGAAAAAGAATGCACCAGGTGAAAATAGCAAAATGAAGGGCATGCTTCAAGAACTTAGCAGCTTTACCAAAGAAAAAAAATGAGTAAGTTTGTCTTTTGCAAATGTCAAGGATTCATACTGATTCATACATTCGCACTGTGCCAGTCACAAAGAAAGGGCATCAGTGTCATGACTGAGTGTCTGACAAACTATAAACTTCTGTGTGGACAACATCATCCCCACCAAAATAACCAGAACAGCGAGGAGCTTCCCCAGTAACGAACCCTGGATCACCAGTGACCTGAAGGAACCGATAACCAAGAAGAGAGAGTGCCTCCAGTCAGAAGCTTCCAGAGAACCACTGTAATACAGACCACAACAGGAGATCCTTCTTGACCACAGCCAGAGTCTACATTTATTTTCCCTTTAGAATTAATAATGTATTTTTGGATTGACTTAACTTAGTCACTGCAAAGCTCGGCAAAAGCCTTAATTCCATCTGGACAGGTTCTATCCTGACGTAATCAGATTGAATCGTTGCCCTGCAACAAACTGACCTGGCCATGGCGAGAGCTCTGTCCACCCTCTGCTCCAGCTCGCCAGCTCCCAAAGCCTTCCACATGAGCCAGAATTTAAAGGCATCTGGCTTCCTGCTGCACTGGACAGACTTGTCCCCGGTGTCGTAGCTCAAGTCGTAGAACTTGTCCTGCTGAAAGAGGTAGGAAGCCCGAGCGGAGTGGCAGCGCTGGAGGAGACACTGCAGAGAGACAGCAGGGCTTCATGTGATGTCCTGCTTTCCCTCTGAGATAGCATTTGTCCAATTGCATTTCCTAGGTGTCTTGTAAAATTTAAACGCCAACATTTTTGCAGAAGTGTTACAAGGTGCCTTGCATTTTTGAGTAGCAGAGAAATCAGAGCTGCTCTTACAGTTTTGTCTCTGACCAGAAAAGCTGAGCATTGCAGACAGACCATCAGCATCTTGTGAGGATTCCAGGCAACAGAGTCGACTCTTTACAAAGGAACAAAGGTGAGACATTGTCCTCAGTGGCGTCACAGGAAGCACATAGCTCATCTATATCATCATTTCAATGAAAGTTAACATACAAGAAAAAAAAATTCTCAACTGATTCAAAGGAAATATCAGACTCATACTTGTTTTGCATCTGAATTGAGGGGTAAAAACTTTGTTCTCAGTTACCAGATGCTGATCACTGCAGTTCCTACTGAACATTTTTTGTTAATGTCTAATTTAGATGTGCAACTAAAGATATTGACTTTAGTTGCAAAGTCAATATCTTTGCAACTAATGTGTTAGTGTATTAAGTTATGTTGTATGTTTGAAGTAATAAAATAAGCACTTAAAAGCATCATAAGATGCTTTTAGTGTCTCAAAAGTGGCCTTTTTACATGGCAATCATTTGTTTTTAATGCGTTTGTGTTGCTCCACTGTGCCCTTGAATTGCCGCTTACAATTAGCGGATGTTATCTGTTCTGGGACGGTGGTGCGTCTTTCAGATACAAATGAAGTTAACTGGTGAATCACCTGTGAATGCCTTTCATTAGGAGCTTGTGCTTGTTGGACATGAGAACTGCTCCTCCCCAACATGCCTGTTAAGGAGAAAAACAAAATGATCATGCATGCTAATGTCATGGTTGCATTGCGTGAATGAATTCCTAGACTTACATCCACATGCAGCCATAGTTTGTATTTCTCACAGATATCTGCAATTTCATCAATAGGATCGAAGGCTCCCAGGACGGTGGTCCCCGCCGTGGCGTTCACCATGAAGGGAACGCCACCCTGAACTCAAACACAAGGGTTTGATCTGACTTTCTCGCAAAAGTGTTGACCTTACATTTCTTTCGAATAAAGTTTCTCACCTCACTTTTAACAGAGTTGATTTGCTCCTCGAGAGCAGAAGGAATCATCTTTCCTCTAAAATACAAAAACAAGTTGGAGTTTCATCATGAAATTTCTTCAGAACACATGCTTTTATACTATTGCAAAGAAATTAAATCTTTTGTAAATATTAAAATATTAATAGTAAAAGCAGTTCTGTGAGACTAGATCTGACAGAACTAGAAGCAGCAGAGCAGGAAGAGTTCTAAAACGTGTGTGGCATTTTACCTCTTGTCAGACGGAACCACAAGGACATTCTTTGTGCCAAGTCCCATTAAAGCTGCAGCTTTTGAGATGGAGTAATGACACTGGAAGAGATCAAAACAGAGCTTATGTGCAGTCAAACAAAAACCATGTAAAGCCGCCTGCCTGATCTTCCTTTGTAAGAGTCAAGTCTTCTTGGTTGTGAAATCCACCAGCTCAAACAAACAGACTTTTTATTACACTATAACTGATTTTTTTTTTCCTTTTTATTGCTGACAGGAGAAAAAAAAAACTGCTGCCTTTTATAGTGCGAGTCTCGATGGAAGTTTTCTGCTGGGACATGTTTAGAGACATGTTGTAGGTTAAGAACCATACCTCTTGTGATGTGAACACCACCAGCCGGGGAGCCGCAGAGTTTCCAAGCTCCTTGATTTCAGGAAAATGGCGGTACCTGGCTAGGTTCATGGCGTACATGTTGGACATCGACCCACCTTAAAAAAGCAAAATGGAAAACACTGGGACACCAGATCTACTGACAGTCTGCTCTGCTGTGAATAAAAAAAAATTAAAAACAAGCAGCATTTTTGAGTTCCTTTAAAAGCTGCAAACATTTGTTCCTTTACTCGTTTCTATTTTCTTGTTAGTTTTATATTTTCATTATCAGAAAAAGCCACCCTCATAAAACTGCAGTTTTCAAACACTGGTTTCATTTGTCGAGTGATTAAAGCTAAACTGGTGGAATCGTGATAAATGTGCCAATTGGACAACTTTATTTTACTTATGGAACTGTAACTTCTCCTCTGTCAGAAAATACTGAAGATCCAGACATGATCATGTCTGACTTCTGTCTTCATCAAAACACTTCTGTAAAGAAAAATAGGCAAATGTTACAAAGGAAGGTGAAAATACTATTGTCCTATTGACGATGCAGATTCTTGACTTCATTAAGTGAGGAAGCTGACCACCTTTTCACACAGGGTCAGCTTGGTTTTGGGTTTTATTCAAGCCCCAACTAAATCATTTGACTCCTGCTTTCGTCCTGGATGATATTTTGTTTGATGATTCGAAACATTTTAGTGAGACCAAAAAAAAGAAAAAAAATGTTTAAGGGGACAAATACTCTTTCACTGTTTAATATCTGGTAGTGAGCAGACTAATACCTGCATTAAAGAGTCCATCTCCTCCTTCCTCCCAGCCGACTATCTGTATCAGCTTCCTGAGCACAGCATTCTCCATCAGAGTGAAGACTGGAGACACCTCATAGGTGTACCTGAGCAAAATGACACATTTCACCGTCAGCATCCTTCATCCTATGATTTGAAAGACTGTAAGGCTTTAGCTTAATTAATTCATAATAATAAGTGAGGGTCTCACAGGCTGGGTTTGAGGGCCTCAGTGATGAAGCTAGCCACCAGGGAGTATGGCTCCAGCCCCGCAAACAGCTGGTTGAAGAAATGAGGATGAGCTGGAAATGAAACGCATAGGGGTTATTCAGGGAGACAAAATATCTACTGACATATCACAGATCTCCAAGTAGGACAGAATAATTATGAAAGACTAGAGATTTATAGTAACCCATTCCAGGTTTCAGCTTTCTATGTGATTCAAATTAAAGTAGGACTGAAACCAAATAAGCATCAACAGGAGTATGCAGACTCCAAACAGGCCAATTACAATCTATTCACAGCAGTAATGAGACAAAACTGTAGAAAAAAAATGTATACATTTCCATTTCAAATAAAACCTTTATCTGTAGATCTGTTCTTCCCAGAACTCCTCAAGAGGTAGTTTTAACTTCACCTGGTTCAAATCTTGTTTAAAAAAATAAAAATAAAAATAAATCTATTAAGCATCTTCTTACAAATCAGTCAATCCTGTGAAAATAACCAAGCAGAAAGATTTTTTTTTTTTCCTGCAGATTCATCCTCTGCAGGTGATCAACCATTCACTAAAGGAATGCTGTTATTGCATTTCAGGGAATACAATGTTTGAATGCACTGCAGTAAACATTTGCCATGTGATTCATATTAATATCCCACAACAGTGATACAGTTACACAAATGTTCATTTTGAAGGATAGTTAAAACTTTAAAACAGGTTCAGATGCATTGAAACTACTATCAAGCTTTGAAGAAATAGTGATTTACAGTGTTCCTCCCTACAAACTGCAAAGAAAAGCAGGATCCATTCACAACTGCATTGTCACTTAACAAGTCATGATGAGATCGCAAAAGTAACCAGGAGTGGCGAACCTCTGGTGGTGGTAAATTAATGAAAAAAAAATGTTGGCTTACAAAAATACCAATAAAAAGAAGAAAAACAAACTCTGTCCTGAAACAGGAAGAACTCTGATAACTAATAGGATCCAGTGGATTTCTTCTTATTGTCCATCAGACACTATTGAAGTTTGGAAAGAAATGCAAGAATGAATTCACAAAGAGCACATGAATGCCATCGGCATCTTACCACAATCAGCCATATATATCATATACAGGCTGGGGCCACATAAACTATTCCACTGTTGAGCCATGTGTGGAATGCCACGTTACATCAGTAATCCTTTCCAGAACTAATCCAGTAATACTAGTTGCCATGCCAAAAGTCAACCAGCGGTGCCGTCCTGACCCCACACATGGCCCAGATCGCTGTTAAGCCATTTCATATAGTAGCTATTAGGAGTTACAACAATTCTGTCATTGGGCAACAATTAATGGGAAGAGTCTTTCTATAGGAAAGTTGTGCATTTTATTCTCCTGTTACATAATAATACTGCAATATGTATCTTTGACAAAAAGGGTTTTTTAACATCTTTGTCAAACTTATGTCTTGACAGTAAGACAAAATGGCTGAAAAAAATAAATAAAAATAGAGCTCCACTGCCATCTCCCGTACTAACTGTATAAATGCACCACAAAGGAAGAAACAACCAGTCAGAGCCAGGAGGAGGGTGTTACTGCTGTCAATCACTCTCGTGCTCATCCCCTTCTCTTGCTCTCTGCTATGCTACAACTAGTTTACCACAATATAGCCTGCCATGAATGCCAGTTAGCATGGCCACCGATGACGGTGGATAAACCATTTTTCTGCAACTGCAAGTTGTTTCTCTGCCATTAAGAAGACTTTGAGCAGTACTGACTGACATCACAAAGACCCTCCTCCTGGCTGTGATTGGCTGTTTTTGGTGCATTTCTTCAAACATTAACAATAGCACAGGAGGAGAAGGAGACTGATGTTTTTACAGATTATCTGGTGAATGTGAGTCTGTTGTGGAGTGCTTTGATTAGACAGGATGACTAGTAAATGCTTTATAAATTCACTCTTTAGACCAGGAGTGTCAAACTCCAGTCCTCAAGGACCGGTGTCCTGCAACTTTTAGATGCTGCACCACACCTGAATAGAATAATAGGTCTTTAGCAAGGCTCTGGAGAACAAGGAGGGGGTAACTAACCCATGTCATTCCAGTGTTTTGTACCTGTGGCACATCTGAAAACTGCAAGACAGCAGCCCTTGAAGACTGAGTTTGACACCCCTGCTTTAGACAACGTCTTAGTTTAACCATAAAGATTAAAGACGACGCTGCCCACAAAACAGACACCAGGCATCAGGCGTCCGCTGCTGGTATGCCAACTGGTGTTTCGATCAGAGTTCATTCATGCCAGACCTACTGGTCTTGGCTTCCATCTGAGTTCATTACAGTCCAACTTACTGGTCTTGACACTGTATCTGATGGCGTCTCGGCACCGCTCCAGGATCCTTGCCTCAGACTCTCCACTGTCTCTAAGCTCCAGATCCAGAAGCTCCTTCAGCTTCTCTGGGGAGTGCCACTCACAAACCTGTTCAGCAAGGACAACAGTGTTCCTGCCAAGGTTCACTCAAGTAAATTACTTTCTGCCACATGCAAAGAAAATATATTAAATTTCTAACCTTTTCTCTGACATCAGTGGCCTTCTTCACTGCATCTTCTAAAATCATAGCCATTGATTTTTGTAGAAAGCTTTCAGCAGCAGCAAAGTCCAGAGGTGGGCCATCCAGAGGATCTTTGTCTACAATTACAGAGCAAATATTCTAGTAGTAGTGCAGACTTTATATATTTTGTACAAACACTGTGCCAGTGTTATGACTCCTAAGATCTTTGTATTGTTCAACGTTTTCTTCCTGTATCATTTGTGGCATGCGTTGCCTTTTAGTAATAGAACTAAATTTGTTCAACCTAAATACTGGCATTTGAGAACTTATTTCAATATTTTCTAGTCAGCTAAGGCTGGCAGAAGATTTGCTATTTTAAATGTTACCTGGTGTTTCCCAAAAAGACAACTTTTCCCCAAAAGTTTCCAAATTTCACAATATGACCTTAAAAACGTTTTCTCATAGGATAGAGCCACCTTAATAAGAGACTATGATAATATATGTGTGCGAGTGTGTGTGTAACATTTATGCAGTTTCACAATGAATGGACAACATATCTTGAACGCCTCAGCCCCGGCGGCATGCCAGAGCGTGGCCCGCCCAGTCACCAGTACTCGCCTGGATTGGATTATTTTGACCTCAGAGTGATTAACTTTATTATTTCTATCTCGACTTGGTGCAGCAGAGGCTTCCGGACTTCCCAATTCTGTGCCCCGCACTTTTTCATAGTCGCGAGTTTTTCCGAGCAGTCTTTAAACGCAACATGAGCGCTAACGGAGGTGGTGTTTGTGTGACCTGTGTTGTGTCGAGAAACGGGACCTGGACCAGGACCAGGACCTTGTGTCCTGACGCGGGAGCGCGCATCAAATGAAATCTGACCGAAGAGGAAACTTTTCAAGATATTCATAACATTATCACGTTTCTTAACCATGTAACCCCTAAAACTTACAATGGCCTTCTTCACTGCATCTTCTAAAATCATAGCCACTGAAAAACATACAGTTTTTACACCTTTATTGAGACATTTGAGTCGAACGCTCATTAATAGAGTTTAGAGCGATGCGCGCTCCCGCGACAGGGCATGTAATTCTCGGCACACCTGGTTGCACAGTTTTGTTTTGTTTTCTCCAAATAAACTGAGTAAGCTGAGTATTGTTGTTGGATGCAGATGATTTTAGCTAAATGATGACTCATTAATCCATACCAATACGTCACGTTAACATTGCAAACAAGAAGAAGCTACTAGTTTTGTTGTCTGTTCAGGATTGTAGTAGATGTATTTAATTTTGAGGGGGAAAAGGGCACTTCTAAGTATTTTTACTGCACTGTACTTTTTACTTTACTTGAGTACTACTATGTACTGCTCCGGCTACTCTTATTGCTTGGTTGTGCATTTATTTATTTTGTATTAATAGACATTATAATTCTAATGTCCCCTTCCAAGCTAAGCCATTGGCCCCCCTTGTCTGCACCGTTATGAAACATGTCCATGTGCATCACTAACAGCCTTGTACACGTGGCAAGCGTCTAAGAACACTGTAAAGCGGTTAAGTATATTATGTACTGGAACCTTTTTTATGGTTTTAGAACAACAACATGTACAAAACAAATGAAACAGGGAACTCCGGAACGGAAGGACACAACGAGAAGAGAAGTGTTGCATCTTACCTTTGATGTGTGTTTCTGTACTTGAAGCCATTCTCTTGGTGTCGTCCTTCTTTCCGTGCTGCTAACTTGAGTTCTGTCTGCAGTTGAACGTCGCGCTGGCCTCTGATGACAAGTTTGTGGTTAGACAGCGGCTCACTGGGGAATTTAAGCGAGTTGTCAGTTTGACGAGGACATGTCAGGACAGACAAGCGGAAAATTCCACTAAAGATGCTGCTTGAAGAACCGATGGTCCGTCCCTTCTCATATTACAGTGGTTCCAGCTGTTGTCTGTCTGTCTTTCCTCTGGATGGATCTTTACGGATCACGTTCTCGTGGACATAGAACAAGAGTAGACTAGATTTTCATCTCTGCATTATTAGAACCCGATGGCCACTTGCGTCTATAGCACGGCGTTCTATCAATTAATTGCCAGACTTGCCATCGCCTCACAGGATTTCAAAAGGACGAGTCAATGTGTAAAATTGTTTGAGTACAGCAGCCTGGAGAGTGGGACAGACTGTCAGCAGTGGTCCCTGAAACACAATCAGAGTAATGAAGTCCAGGGGTGAATTCAAACCCAATCTATTCATCTCACCTGCCAAAGCAAGGATGTCATCATGCGCCTCGATTCCAACCTATCGCTGATGATCTCCTCCTCCTCCTCCAATCATCAAGTGTCGCTCCCTTGATAAGGTTCAGCTGTTCATCGGCTTCCGCTGGTTAACTTCCTCCACCCTCCTCCCTCTTCAGTTCAAGATTTCTTCAATATCCTCTCAGTTTCCACCACCAGTGTCAGGGCCCGAGGCGTCTCACTCTCTGACAGCGGCTACCAGCGCAACGTCTCCCTCCTGGGTCCCAGCGCCAAAGACTTTCATTTGTCAATTAAACTTTCTAATAGCCCAAGTTTATATCAAGCTTTTTTGTATTTATTCAATGTCCTTGATCTCAACATTAACACTAATTTCACATCTGTAGTTATATTGTTGCCCACACCAGATCAACATTTTCTTGAACTTGTTGAAAAATGCAGATACTTGTAAAAAGTTGTCTCAGCTAATAGGTCCTTTTGGACAACTAATAGGAGCAAAAGTCTTACTCAGCAGAAGTGTTATTCTAGTAGCTCTAATGTTGACATTGTGTCATAACAGTGAACAGGCTGCTGACACAAATGATGCTCTCTAGTTAGTAGTGACATTTAAAGGCCTGCACTAGTTGACTCATGTGACGAAACGTTGTAAAAAGTTGACCCTTGTGGAACAATAGGTCTAGTTATGCTATACATAATCAATAATAAATACCAAACAAATGATTAATTTAGATGAAATATACCAAAAAAGACCAGATGTACACTAGTTATAGCTTTGAAAGCTTGACCAATGCACTACTGCAGCTAAAACTTATTAGCTAGTTAACTTGTGTCACTAAGTCATGTACCAGTATACTGGATGGTACAGTTGACAAAAACACACCAGTTCATTAGTAACTTCACTTTTGGCCCAGATGTCAATTAGTAAGATCACCAACCTACTATGCTTGGGGCCATTTCAGATGTACTAGTGAATTAATGGACCTAAAAATGTTGATTAGTTAACTAAGGGACCTTAAACAAGTAGAGTATCAAGTATTTACTAGTCACTTATATGTGACCAGTAACATATACATGCTCTACAGGAAGTTTTTTTTTTGTTGAGAATTACATCTGTTAAATGTAGCTTCTCTTTTTAAATATTTTGTACACATAATGCCCCATGATGATGTTAAAAAATCAGTAGTGATACAAAAAAAAAAAAAAAAAAAAAAAAACTGAATCAGAAATAACTTTTATGGATTCAGTGGAAAATGTGTGAGTAGCAGGACCTGCTGGAGTATTGGTGTTCTCAATACTGTTAAAGGATAGAAAATAAATGATCACCTCTGATAACACAAAAAAAATCTATGAGCATTTGCAAATGACACTGCAAATTTTAATGAGAGAAGAAAAAACTTTTTTTCTAAATGGATGAAATGATCACCTTTGATAAATAAGCTCTATTTTTTGGCATTTAATAACTGCACCAAAGTATGTTCTTCAAACTCTGATTTTATTATCGTTTTGATTTTTAAAAAGGTCCTTCCTCTCACCATCAAGTCAGTGCCGACAGAATTTCCCAGGATTTTATTTTTTGTTTTTCAAAGTGTTATAACATTCCCAGAACCCTGCAGTAATGTTGACAGATCCTAGTCCAAATGTTTCTCTAGTTAAAGATGGATGCAGTTCAGCAAAAGCTTGTTAAGCCACTAACTGAAATCAAATGTGTTGAAGCAGGGAAACTTCCAAACAGGGCGATGAGTCTTTAGGACCAGGTTTTAAAACATTAGTCTTGTCTGAGCAAATACAGTGATTTGGTCATAAAGGAAGTCTAAACAAAGAGAACACCGCCACCTAGTGGTATGTTTGCTTATCCTCCTGACCTTCATCAAAGTTTTGCCCTCATTCACGCTAAGTAAAAATAAACTTTCCTCAACTTGACCGCAAATATTACATGACCTTGTGAAAAAACAGACAACTTGTAATTTCTGATAAATATCTACACAACAAGAAATTTGCTGTCGTTTCAAAATAGTGACCATTCTAATTCTATTTTTGTGTTTTAAAATAAAGAAACAGAGCTTTTCCATAGGGAAGATTCTCAGAATTTTGGGATTTGTGCTAAATTATGAATAAAAAAATATAACCCTAATGACAGGAGAAATAGAGCTGACGGGTGAAATTTATAATTTAAAATCGTTCATGGTGTTTTTTAGAACAGGATTATAAAGTAATTTACTTAATCATTAAATCATTATTGTCTAGTTTTTCTAATGATATCAGTAAAACACGATATTTAAATATATTATATTATGTCGCACATAATTTAAAATATTTAAAAAATATGAATAAATCCTTTCTATATTTATTTCCAGTTTTAATACATTAATAACACATTTATATGATCATTTCACTCACATTATTTATCTCTATTTCTTGCGCAAATTTTCTCTCTATTTAACTCTGGGTTCAGTTAATCTCACACAAAAAAGGGCCACTTGACCAGAAGCCATCAGCGCACATAGTAGCTGGTCACACCTGCACCGCAGTCGGCCCCTCCCCCGCCTCGAAACGGCTTTTGCTTGTTGGGTGGGGGGAGGGAGATACGTCATGAGGGTCAGGCTTCGGCTTTCTCATTAGTCCTTATGCCTGTCTGTCACACGCCGTGGCACCTGATTGGACTTCCGCAGGAGTGGTGTCCGTCCACGCTGTACCTGTCTCGTTGTGAGAGGCTGAAGACTCTTCCTGTTCCACGAACAGATCCCGCCCCTTTCATTCAGCTCCAAGGAAGGAGGAACTCCTCGAGCCGCGTGTGACACTTCTCGGGTGCAGCCAAACTGTGCTGCAATGTGGTTCCCAGGAATCGTCTAGCAGCGGGAAATAAGGTCAGACAGTCGGGAATCTCAGAAGCTACCTTGGAGGGCTCCGGGGTGTCCGGGGAAGGTGCTGCGAGTGGCTCAGAAGTGAAGCGTGGCGCAGAATAGGAAGGCAAGAGGGGGTCCCTTCCTGTGTGATAACAGATAGCTCCATTTGCTTGGTTGCCACCGCTGGGCTGACGTAGAATAATGGCGGAGCATCACCAGATTTCCGAGAGCAAACACAAATCCTCGCTGACCTCCGCGGCGACGTACTCTGGGAATGGCCGCAGCAGCACCGCGGCGGCGGCGGAGAGAGACGGCATGGCTGGCGCCGGGGGAGGTCTGTCCGGCGGCCTGTCGCAGCCGGCCGGCTGGCAGTCCCTGCTGTCTTTCACCATCCTGTTTCTGGCCTGTCTTGCCGGCTTCAGCTCCAGGCTCTTCGCTGTCATCCGCTTCGAGAGCATTATTCACGAGTTTGACCCTTGGTAAGTTGTCTTCTATAAAACGGACGGGTTGCCAAGATTTGCAGAGCCTTCTTTAAGACATTTTCCGGTGTTTCCCCCCAAGTTTTCTGGGTGTTCAGTGATCCTGAACGTGCTGTTGCTGAGAGAAAGAAGCTCTGAAGCAGCAGCACCGTAGGAAATTTGGGGAAAAATGACAATTTCAACCCGGAAACAAACAGCTGCGCCACCAGTCCCTCTACCAGATTTCTCCGTTGTTTGCTCAGCGTTCACCTCTGACTTTGTTGCGTTGGAGCAGCAGCACTGATTGCAGGCTGTAATGTCCGCATGTTCTGGTTCTCAGCTGCTTTGCAGTTTTGCCACACACTGCAGAAACTGTTTCTGTAGACGTTGGAATTTTCCTTTAGTATCAAAACCTTCAGCTTTAGAAGTGAGAGTATGTTCTTACTTACCTTATGCAGCTGATTGATTGATGTGCACCACTAGATGGACACTTTAAAAAAAACAGTTTAGATTTGAATGCAAAATATGCTCAAGGAACAAATATTGAGGATGATATTCAGACATGCACTAACCAGCCAGTTTAAGTACGACTTATTGATAGACAGTCTCTCTTTTAACTTCAGATCTGACTTGAGTTCCTCAAGACCTGAACGTTAGGAACTGTTGGAAATATTCCTGAGATATCAGCCTGTTAACCTTGTTTTCCTCAAGGTTCTTTATGTACATTTTCTATTGTGTGGGGAAGTGGAAAATGTTGATGGAAACAGCAAAATTCAAGATAACTTGCTTGATTTTGCAAAGATGTTTTTACGCTTGCTTGATGTGTTTTTTTTTTGGCTTTTCCAAGAAAGAGTTGATGGGCTAAAGGGGAGATGGAAATATATTTGTTCACTAATTTCTGACGTAGTGACCGCTTGCATCCACTGGTGTGTCTGTGTCTTGCCAGACTCATGAAACTCGCATTATCCAAAGTCTAGAACTCCAGCTCTGAGGGGAGCACGGTCTTCATTTTCCTGAGATGTGTACTCCATGCCAGTTTGCAAGCTTTACTTCCTGTAAATTACAGCCACCAACATCTGAGGAAAAATCATGCCTGGTTGATTCTCTACAGACTAATTGATGGGAACATACCTTTTCTGTTTTTTTGTTGTTTTTGTGACATTTTAAAAGTTCGCTTAATGTTAACAAGACACTTGGATGGAAAACATGGCTACAAAGGCCTGTATTGACATTATCAACATGCAAAGCTCCCAGTCTAACACTTCCCAAAGGTCCTCTGCTTGACATGTGTTGACTGTACAATGGAATTCAGTTGATTTTCAAGAACATGCTTTGAGATTATTTGTGAAATTGAGCAGCTGCAGATGGGAAGAAACACTCAGTTGGAGGATAGAAATTTGTGCCAGTTCCCTCACACCTTTATTATCATTATTATTGTTATTAACCTTTATAGAAAAAAGTGTAAACATCCCTGACACCAGCAAACAGTTTACACCATCATAAATAAGTTAGCTAAAAGATTCCACAAGTAAAACATTTACAGATGACTGATTCCTTCTCAGAATCCATCTTAAAAACATTTTAGTGACAACAGCAGCCTGAGGTTTGTGCATTTCTGCTCCAAGAAGACGAAGCAGAAAACTGAAACGATTTCTCTCAAAGTTCAG